CATATTCTGAAAGCACATGAGTAGTACATATGATTTTATAGGTCATAATGGCTGATCGGCAGTATGACGTCATCATATTGCCATCTGAATTCAACAAACTAAATATTATCGATGACGTCATTTAAAAAAAATGCGCATTTGAGCGTATCTCGCTTATTCTTGGTCGATTGTCTTCCAACTTTGAGTATGTTATAGCTAAGGCAATTCTCTTTCATATACTTACACTTTTTCACATTTTGATGACGTCATCATGGTCAAAATATAGGGTTTTGCTTACCACCCTCATCTTTCTTTCGTCAAACCTTTGATGACCTCATAATCACCTTAATCATTCGTGATTTCTGAATCATATTTAGTGGGCATAAACTTCAGGTCATGGTTAAATGTTATGCACATTATATTTTTGTGCGCACGTAATAACGCGAGCGTTCACGTGCGTCAAAATTAAAATATGCTTTATATCATGTCTTTTATTAATCAGTTATAGCTCCTTAGGATGAAAGGTGACCCCCAATTTTTATTACATATTCTGAAAGCACATGAGCTGTAGATATGATTTTAAATATTATAATAGCTGATCGGACATTGTGACGTCATCATATTGCCATCTGAATTAAAAAACAAGAAAAAAATTATATTTCTTTTCTTAAAATGTTGATGACGGCATATCATCTTAACCATTTGTCATTTCTGAATATTAAATGGGCTTATACTTGAGGTCAAGGTTGAATGTTAGATATCTTACTTTTTTGTTTGCGCGTCTTAACGTGCACGTACGCGTGCGTCAAAAATTACATATGCTTATAATTATTCCTATTTATAATCAAACGTAGCTCCTTAGGAAAAAAGGTGACCCCCAATTTTCATTACATATTCTGAGAGCACATGAGTTGTAGATACGATTTTATAGATCATAATGGCTGATCGGACATTGTGATGTCATCATATTGCCATTTAAATTAAGAAAAAACTTTTTATTTATGACGTCATTACTTTTTATACTCGTTTGAACGTATCTTGCTTATCTTGATTGTCTCCCACCTGTGAGTATATTATAGCTAAATCAATTCTCTTTCAGATGTGTCCCTTTATTTTTTATTTTCATCATGTTAGCATAGTATTTAGAAAAAATATAATATTTTGAAACACAATTTATCATCCTTGTACATGGCAAATAATTTATTACAAGTGTATTTTCTCACAGTTAATATAAAATTGTTTTACTGTACACAGAATAAAGCAACATTGAAGCAGTCAGGTATTACAATATATATCACTGCATTTTACACACTATTTATTATCAAAATATTAAATATATGTATTTATAGTTACTTTAGTTTATACCAATGTAAAGAATAGGGAAGAACAAGTTACATTTATATACTGTATTAGCTTAAAATTTTAAAATATGAGACGAGAGTGGGGAAGATACAAAAAACATTGTACTGTACTTAACAACAAAATGTTCTTGAAATCAACTTTGCTGGCCTATCCGAATC